TCCTTTACTTCAATCCACTTCCCCAACAGGATTACACTCAAATCATTCCCATCCCTATTCATTCAAAAACCACTTTAAAATGTGAGACTAAAGCTCAGTAGAGAATGGAGAAATTTGAGAGTTTTCTCAATGAAAATTGGAGTAGAAACACAAAGAGGAGTCATGATCAATATGAAAGCATTTGGAGAGAGGATGATGAAGAGAGAGGAGAAGAGAGAGAATTGAAATATTTGGAAAGGAATGTCCACATTTTGAAGGTGACGGTGAAAAAGGAAAAATAAAAAAACAACAGATGAGAGGAGTGGCCAAAGAAGTTGGAAAAAAACTAAGATAATAATATGTCAAGGAGGTTACAGTAAAAGATAAGAAGGTGATGTTAGCAGGCAAAGCTGCTGCATGGTTAAAAAAAAAAAAGGAAGAAACGCAAAAAGCCATTGATTTGATGAAATGAACTGTGACTTTTTAAGTGTTTCTTCCAGAGATGGGTGAGGGTATAATGGATTTTTCATTGTTTGAGATCTCTTTTAATTGAATTTCTAATAAAAGATTTCACAGGTTAGCACCATTTGCCATTCACAAAGTGTTTGGAATTTTAAAATCGTGAGCCCTAGAGAAAAGAAAATTCTGTGTTGTATTTAAATATACTACATTGTCCAGCAAAGAATTATGCATCCTGCACATATATAACAAATACTGTTTATTACTGTTAAATTGACTTGCCATAGTAGCAAGAAACATTGTATTGTTGAGGTGGTACCTAGGAAGGCATGATGGAGATAAATAATCCTGGCTCCATCCTTTCATCGAAGTTGAGAATCTGAGAGGAGAATGAAGCCAACGTTTATTGTAGTGATGAAAGGGTAAGCTGATCCTCACCACAGACTGAGTCAAAAAGGAAAAAAATCTAGTGGAGTCGATAGAGAGTACATTGGCCCTGAAAACAAATTTGGGTTAACCAGGTCAGAAAAATGTCAAAATTCTGGGTAGCAAGGTCAAACCTTCCATGGATTCCAAGAAATGGGCAACCATTCCTGATACACATGTACATAAATGGATATATGATGTCATAGATGTGGGGATGAAATTGGGCAAGACATCCTGGGACTTCTTGGATGAGAAATGATGGCAACCAGATCAATAAAAGGAAGAAATGAGAGCCAGAGAAGGGGGAACAAGTGAGTGTAAAATTTGGAAGTAGAAACAAAAGGTTAGAAATACAGCATGCTATTTGTGTTTTTAAATGATGCTTTGGGTTTTACTAAGCACAATTCCTAGAATCAAGAGCCTAAGTATCAGTTACTATGACTCACTTCTTTCAAGATTAATATACAGCAAGAGATTTCTTTTTTTATGAGTATTATGTTTAAGAATGCAGAATTCTGCTTTTAGGAGACTCACTATGATTATCTTTTTTAATTTAAAATAAAATTTTATCTAAACCTACTGTGAAGAAATGTCTCCAAAATAAAGCCCAGTAGAAGAAATTAAATTTTATTTCTCAAAATACCTCAGGTATGAAATATCCACTGTGTTCCTTGCCTACCCTAAAGAAATAAGGATTTGTGGTGAATGTGATCTACATAATTGAATACAAATATTACCATAATGATAATACCCTCTGATAATGTTACATTATAGCTACCCTTTTAAACCACAGAAATTTTAACTTCTTGTTTACCAAACACTAAAATAGGGAGGAACAAAAGGCTTCTTATATTGGACAATCTAGAAAGACTATATGTATGACACCATGAAAACTATGCCATATAAATGACTGGCATGAAGTGCATGGAAAAATGGCCCAGTGAATGGAAACTTGAATTGGCCACAAACAGCAAGAACGGAGAACAACTTTCCAAAGTGAGGCCATGACCCAAATTTCACTCAAGCCAATTGACTCTGGATGAAAAAAAGCAGACTCAGCTCATAAAAACAAGGTCCATATCTGAATGTTATTTTACCCCAGGGCAATGACACGGCCTTGTGCCACGTGGAGACAAAAATTCTTCTGATTATCCATTAGAACAGCAGCCAGAGGAGACAACATTCCCTTGTAGAGAAGCCCCACTGAGCATCCAAGCAACGGAACAAGGGCAGTGGGAGAGCACTCCCTCAGCCTCAGCCAGATGCTCTAGAGGAAACCACACCTGCATCTGGGCTGAGGCTGAGGTGCACCCAGGTGTAGGTAGAACACGTTTGTTCCCTGATCATCCTGGGTGGTCTCAATTTGGACATTACCTTTAGGAAGGAAGTCAAGGACAACTCGCCTCATCACTGTGCCACCATATTAAAAAGCCTAAGTCTTAGGAGAACTGGAATTTGTATTCTGAATTCTGACTTCTGGCCCTCCATCTATCGTTAACTTACTACACCATTTTGAACAAGCCAACTAAACTCACTCTCTTGAGAAAATTTTGAATAGCAATAAAAACACCACATGGCAAATAGGAATACGATCAGAATTCACGTGAGACTGTATTTAAATGAGAAAGCAAGAGTAACTTCAAAGGGAAAACAAAACACTTAAACTTAAAATATTTAATTTCTAAGATTGATTTTATTGATAAAAGTGATTAAACTATTTGGGGACCTTATTTCTCTCAGGTTATTTTTTTTTTAATTTTTTTGAGGAAGATTAGCCTTGAGCTAACTACTGCCAATCCTCCTCTGTTTGCTGAGGAAGACTGGCCCTGAGCTAACATCCGTGCCCATCTTCCTTTACTTTCTACATGGGATGCCTACCCCAGCATGGCTTGCCAACCGGTGCCTTGTCCACACCTGGGATCCGAACTGGCGAACCCTGGGCCGCCGAGAAGCAGAACGTGCCAATTTAACTGCTGTGCCACCGGGCTGGCCCCTCTCAGGTTATTTTTAACGATTAGGTTTTGTGAAAATTTAAACCAGGCCATTGGCTTTATTGGAGTAAAAAAAAATGCCCACTAAAAAAAAAAAAATGTGGGCTCTGCCACATATTGCTAAAAGTAAAGGCCAAAAAAAGGTAGTTGGAAACTTTGAACAAATTATTCCAAATATCATGGAAACCTCAGAATTACATATTATTATATAAGATTACATAACATATATAACCTGTATGATACTATACCTGCTTTAAATATATATTATTCTCATTCGGTATAATACCTCACTTAAAAGTCAGGTAATAAAAGGTTATATATTAACAGTAGTTTCATTTCTCTTGCAGCTCTAGCTTTGAAAAGATAATGCAATTGTATCCGCAAGGAAACAGCTGGAATACAGCACCTCCTGTGGTTTTGCAAGGCGTCAGGTAGACATTCCTTGCAGAGGCCTTTCACTAGATGAGGAGAAAAATGTCCTAATGGGGGACAGTAGGAGAAGAAAGATCACCTTCTCAAGATTTAAAGGACAATTAGACAACTCCAAGCATAAAAGTTTCTTAAAGCACAGAATAATGGCATTGGGGCTTTTTTCAAAAAATAAAATAATAAAAAATCTCATCCTCTGGTTTAAATGAGAAAGTACAAATATCGCCACTCTGAAATAATTCATGTCCCAAAGGGGAGAAAAACGATACTATCCACTCTGATTTTCTTTGAATGTAACTGGACTATAAATGCTTTTTTTAACATTTGGTCTTTAAAGTATATAATTTACTTAAAAAGGAGCATAATAAAGATGGAAAATACAAGATTTATTTCCTACGCTTTTGTTTCACTCCCATTACCTTGTAATATTTCTACATATTAATTCATCCCCAGATGATCAAGGGGCTAAAATGGGCTCCACTGTTTCATCAGTTCCACATTTGCCTAAGATCATGAAATTGCTTCATTCTGTTATTAGTTCAAAAGCTCTTCTTGCTAGTTCCTGAATCTCCTCCCAGGCCCTTCCCTCCAACACACACCAACACACATACACACACACACACCACCTTTCTCAACCTGCTAAAGCAAAACGCCTTCTAAGATGAAAGATGCTAAAAGACTGGAACTTTGTCCCCCACTTTTTCCATTCTCCCCTCTCATCACCACCCCTCCCCCCACACGCCAATCCTATTTTTTCAACGTATCCCCAAACTTACAAAGCAGCTGTTAACAGAGAGAAGAGTGGGCTAACAACAGAGTGCACATAAACTCGGTGTGTGTTCTTGCGTTTGTGTGTGAGTGTGTGTGTGTGTTGTGTTAAGGAGAAAGGGGGGTGTGTGTGGTAAAGAGAGAGGAAGTTGTATGTTCTGTGTATCAAATAGGGAAGGGAGTTGAATACATTCCTCCATTTAAAAATATTTGGTTAACTTAGAAACATCAACTGAGAAACTAAGTATCTGGCAAATTAGTAATAAATATACACTAGCTTTACGTGGGCAAAATAAAAAGTTCAAGTGTCTGTGTACAGGGCAGTTATTAAAGTCAGCATTCACATGAGAGATGGCGTGTTAGTGTGCCTTTTAAACTTTGGATTTGATCATTTCTAGAATAGGCAGCACAAGCAGTGCTAGATGCTCCATGAGAGATGCTCAATGTCAGCTGGTACTGGGAGAAACAAGCCCCCACATCATACCTAGAAATGCCAGCTAAGAGTCGTCATCTGGCAAGCCCTGGGGCAACGGGAGAAGCCGAGAAAGGGTAGGAAATGAGCCCTGCTTGCTCAGGCTGCCTTACTTTCTCTTCTCTACCCAGCCACAGACACACCTACTAAAGAGGTTTCACAGTGAGCAAAGCCCCTGCATGTTCTCCAGCTGGCAGCAGAAACACTATCCAAATGCATGCGTAACATCACAAAAGCAACTTTCGTTCTGCTCATCTCAGGGCACGCAGACTATCCTCACCTGTCTCCCCCCAAATATGCCTCAGTTTACCTCTGGAGCAAATCTGCCTTGAAAACAGCCCCACCAGCAAAGACACCAAGGCAGCCTCTCTCTCACTCCCGCCACCATCATCTGCTGGCACCCAGAAAAGTGGCAGAAGGTGAAGGGAAACTCGATTGGAGACACCTCGGAGAATCGAGCAGTCCTTTTCACTTACTTTGAGTTGCAAATGTGCTCTGGGCGCTTCGGCTGCCTTTGTTGAAAGGGGCGAGGTGGTCTGTTCCGAGTCCAGGTACCCGAGTCGCTGCTGCTCGTGGCGCGGCGGCTGCTCCCTCCCTCCTAGACGGTGATTCACTGGTCTCTTTCTTTCCCTCTCTCCCCCTTGGATTTTCCTCTGCTCTGCGGCTTCCTTGGCGGGATTTTCGGACTGGAAGGCGGGGAACCTGATCCTGCCTTGGACTCAATCACGCCCTGACAGGGAGGGAACGGAAGGGAAATGGAGACTGGGAGGGATGAGAAGAGCGGGCAGGGAGAGGACGCAGGCAGAGCGAGGGAGGGAGCGCGCCTTTCCGTCGCGAGCTGATTGGGAAGCTTATTAAAAGCACAGTTCTCCAGGGGCAGTCTCTCCCCCTAGGAGCAAGCACACGGATTTGAACCAAGAGGCCAGGAGATGGAACATTGTTTTGGTTTTAGCAGAGACGGCGACACGATATTTCTTTTCCAAACTTTACGCAAGACCTGTTTTTGAGATGGGTGCATACCTCAGTTTATCAAGTAGGACATCTTAAATGGACAATTGAGGGCATTTTAGGTTACAGTTTTGACCCCAGACAATTTTTTTTAAATGACATTAGGTATGAAAAGGAACAGTCTTCAAAACCAGCCTCTTATTCCTCCCCACCCCCAAATTCCTTCCCTCCACGCAGCTCCAGTTCCTTCAGCTGTCAGTGCCATCCCACTTGCAGTCACAAAATGTGCAAAGTACTTTTTTGCGCTTGTCACAAAGAGTGACAGATGTCTGCAAGTTCCCAATTAAATGCCACTTTCTTTTAGGAGGCTCTTTCCTTTTTTGGCTTTCTTGGTGCCTTTAGTGACTTAGTTAGTGACATGCTTTTGACATCCAAGAATTTAAGGGATTAATCAATGTAGCTCAACCTCTGGGGTTTGTAAAACTCGGAGGGTGGGCTTCATGGCTTTCTGGAATTTCTATTTTGTTCAACTGAGGAAAGATACTAAGGTAATATATCCAGGACTGTTTCAGTAACACATAGATGAATATTTATGATATATATGAGATAAAAGTATTGTGTAAAATGGTTAAGTATGAAACAAGTTTCCCCAAGTATTCTCAAAAAGTAAATTTTGAGATTTCCCCACTCATCATTCTTTCCTGCTCCTCATCTTGCCCCTTTTTCTTCCTTCCAGCGTATCATTTGATGATGGCCACCTCAAATATGGTTGCAAAATTTACTTCCGTTTCCCATAGTTCTGAGGTTACATCCCTTCAGTTCAATTTGATAAATGTCTATCACGTGCCTTATATAAATTTATATATGCTTCGAACCATACCTAAACCTCAAAATTAAAAGCATTGCTTTGTGACAAGTAGTTCTCGGGGACTTGGGGCTCTTATATTGACTGCTACCTGGACAAATGTCCCAGGGAATTGCCAGCTGGGGACAAAGAGGTGTCTCCACAAGTAGAGCTTTTAATCAATCAATCAATTTTTTCAAAAAGAAGGCATCAGAAATTCAAATACACACCTCCAGTGGGAATCCATAACCAAACTCTCCATCCACATGCCACACATCAGCCTTGAATGGAATAAATGAGGAAGGAACCACCTGTCTTCCTTCTACACAGACTTCAAGTTGCCTGTTTTCTGTCTGTGATTCCATTGTCCCAATGATGCAAGCAATGTTTGTATTATTTAATCTGGTTTCACCTGCATAATTTATGGAAGAAGCCACACTACCATTTTATTATTATTATTTTTCCAAGGCCCTTTACCGAAAGAGACTTCTCAACATTCACGATCACTCCATGGGGATAGAGTTTCCAGGTCGTTAAACAAGGGCTTATCCATATTCTATTTCTTCCTAAACTTTATTTTAACATCTACAAATATAGCATGCTGCTACCCATTATTGTGGTGCTTATCTATAAAGTTGATAAAGTAAGCATGAGATCCCTCTGATTTCCACTCCATTACGTGTATCATATCAAAAATATAACCCTTCATTCAAATAGGAATATATGAAAATTATTTACATCAGTGGTTCTCAACCAGGAGCAATTGTGCCTTCCAGGGGACTTCTGACAATGACTGGAGACATTTTTGGTTGCCACAGCTTGGGGGAAGAAGTTGCTACTGGCATCTAGTGGGTAGAAGACAAGGATGCTGCTAAACATCCTACAATGCACAGGACCGCCCCACAACAAAGAATTTTTTGGCCCAAAATGTTAATAGGGCTGAGATTGAGAAACCCTGACTAACATTATTAACCATTGTATTTTAAAAATATAAAGGAAGATTAAAGAGGTTTTTTAAAGAAATAGAACTCTATGAGGTTGGGGTTAGTCATAATTTAATTCAACACCCATTTACACCAAAGTTTAAGTAGAAAATATTTCCTAATGCACTCCAAAATGTTCAACTTCAAATCCAAACTTTGTCCTACGGCATAGTCATGGGTCTGTTGATTCAAGATTTCAAGGCATTTCATTCATTTAGCCAATATGCTTTGAGCACTTAAGCTTTTGAGTGAGTAGAGCTGTGAACAAAACCAGATGAAAATCCCTACTCTCATATAGCATACCTTTTTGTGTAAAAAAAACAAGCAAACAAAATTAATTAATTAATTAATTAAATTTTTTAAAGATGTGATAAGTGCCACAGGAAAAAATAAGACAATGCAGGACGATAGAAGTGCCAATTTGAGGGAGGAAAGGCTCCCTGGGGTGAAATTTCAGTGAAGATTTAGAAGAGTTGAGGGAGCTGGCCAAGTAAACATTTGGGAGAAGAATCTCCAGGCAAAGAGATCAGGAAATGGGAAGATCTGAGCTCTGACCTTGCCAGAGGTGTTACAGGACCAGTAAGGAGGCCACTGTGGTGGGAACTCAGTGACAGGGAGGTGGACATCCAGCCCAGGCAGGTCACAACTGGCCAGATCATGCCTTTGTCTAACATAAGGAATTCTACTCTTACTCTGAATGAGGTGGGGAACCATTAAGAGTGACAAAACCTGACTCTGGTTTAATAGGGTCTCTCTGCTGTGTTGAATGGACCACAAGAGGGAAAGGATGGAAGTCAAGAGCCCAGTTAGAAGGCTACTGCGATCATGCACTGTCCAAACTTCTTCCCCTTGTCCCTGTTTCTTGTGAAGAATAACTCACTCCAAACTTGCCCTTTCACACTCTCTCTGCCCCACAAGCTTCCACCAGCAGTTACTTCAGCTTGCTAATGCTCACCTTCTCTGCCAGTTTCCAGCCTCTCCAGGTGTAATTAACGAGCCCCCTGCGTGAGGGCTACCAGGCTAAAACATAGCTAATGCAAGGTGATTTGAAATCATAGAAATTATAACATGTCCTAAGGGTGTTTCGAAAATGAGGCGGCTGATTTTGCAGCGACAAATACAAAGAGAAGTGTGATCAGCATGAAGTTTAAAAATATGAAGGAACCTGATGAAAAATTTGTCAGCATGTCTCTTGGAATGCCTTCTTGGCAGGATGTTTAGATCCTTGATTACCACTCCAAGTTCTTCAATATCCCTGGAATGCGAAAGGACAATTCATCAAGCTCTCACAGTGTGAGGGAAGGCCCATTAATACATCTCTCTTCTTCCCTCTGAAAGATTTAAGGGAATAAAAATTTTATTTTTTTGATCACTGTGATTAGATTACAAAACTTATGTTTATTTTAGGTAATTTTTGTAATGATTATGCTATTTTTTAATTTAAAAAACAGACAACTCAATTAAAAATAGATTAAATAATTTAAGAATTTATCTCACAAACAACACAGGTTGGTAAGGTCAGTGTTTCAAAGTCTTCAAGGACCTAGGGCTTTCCATCTTTTGACTCTGCATCTTCAATTTGTGAATCAAGGCTCTTTAATATGGTTTCAAGGAACTTCAGGCATATTTGGCTTAAAGAAAAGACCCAAGCCCCGGTGCAGAATGCGACAGCTTCCCTAGTTACATAGCCACACAAACTATGCCAGCAAAAGAAAGAGGTAGAAAGGATTGGGGAAGAAACCAACAATGCCTGCTAAAATTTCTTCGTGAAATTTTATAAACTTGCACTTTATCAATCTCTTATGAATGTAAGTAGTTTGATGTAAGCCCCTCAATCCTATCTTGTCAAGAACTACTAAAACCAAGGTTCTAAATTGGCAAAGCTGGGGAGCATGACTTGCACAGTGGCCTCACTCAGACTCACTCAGAAAATCAGACCTGAAATACTCAAAGAAGTTTCATCTCACATTATAAGAAAACAAAATCTAACAGGCCAATAGCCCTCATGAACATGGATGCAGAAGTTCTTTAACAAACATCACTCAATCAATGCCAGTAATGTATAAAAAATATAATACTGAACATCATATTGGACTTTTATCCCTGGAATGCAAGCTTGGTTTTACATATGAAAATCAAATAATCTAATGCACCATGTTAACAGATGAAGGAGAGGAACAAAAGGCACATATTAATATATATGGGGAAAGCATTTGAAAAAATTCAATACCCCTTCATGATAAAACTTCTCAGCAATTTAAGAATATAAGTGAATCTCCTCCTCATCCTATAAGACACACCTACAGAAAGTCTCCAGCCAATGTGATTCTTCAGAGTGTAAGTGCATGCTTTCCATCTAAAAATAGAAATAAGGAAACAATTACCATTCTTACCATTTTTATTTGATATTGTACTAGAGATATTAGCCAGTAAAATAAAGTCAGAAAAAGAAATAAAAATAAGGCAAGGGAAGAAGTACAGTTGTCTTTATTCTCATATGGCGTGAGTGTGTACATAGAAAATTGTCAGGAATGCACAGAAAATCTTCTAGAACTAATAAGTGTTTTTAGGTGGGTACAAGTTTAAAATCGATTTTATGTCTAAATTCTATCAAAAAATTGGAAAATGAAATATTAAAAAATGTATATTGAAGCATGAAATACTTGTGGGATAAATTTAACGAAATGTGTTGAAGGCTTGAAGAAACACCAAACGTTTCTGATAGAAGCTATAGAACACCTAAAAAATAAGAGAGATTCATTATGTTGATTGATTTGAAAATTTAAGATTGTTAGGATGTAAGTTCTCTCCGTATTTATTTATAGATTCAATGCAATCCAAACCAAATCCCAATATGCTTTTTTATAGAAATTTACAAACTGATACCAAAATTTCTATGGCAATGCAAAGGATCTTGAATAGGCAGAACATTTTTGAAATAAAGAACAAAGGTGGAGGACTCATAGTGCTTGGTATCAAGTTTTACTATAAAGCAAAAATAATCAAGACTATTGTGCTGTACTGGTGTAAAGATAGACTTAGAGATTAATGGAGAACAAAACTACCAATTCAT